GGGAAAGAACAAGTTAAAAAATAATTTAAAAAAGTCTTAAGTCATCAGGGCCTAATGAAATGCATCCTATAATACTCCAGGAGCTGACTGGAGATATCTGAGCCATTAGTGATTATTTTTGAAAAATCATGGAAGACAGGAGAAATTCAAGAAGACTGGATAAGGGCAAATACAGTGCCCATGTACATAAAAGGAAATAAAGACAACCCAGTGAATTATAGCTCCATCAGCTTAACTTCTGTATGCAGAAAGATAATGGAGCAAATTAAGGAATGCATTTGTAAACATCTAGAAGATAGGTGATAATAGCATCAATTTGTCAAGAACAAATCACATCAAACCAACCCAATAGCTTTTTTGACAGAACAATACGCCTTGTAAAAAAAGTGTGTGGGGGGAGGAGGGAGGAGATGTAGTGGTTTATCTAGACCACGGATGGGCAATAGGTGGCCTGCAAGCAAGATGTGGTTTGCCAGGGTTAGTCCCTGGTGGGTTTCTAGTGCTTTATTTACCTGCATGTGCACAGATATCACCATTTGCATCTCCTGTTGGCTGTGGATCACCAGTCCTTAGCAATGTGAACTGCTGGAAGTGGTGTCCCAGTCCACACTGCTTCCCACTGTTCCCATTGGCTGGGAACAGCAATCCACGGCCAACAGGAGCTACAAAGGGCTATATCTGCGGACGAGCAGGAAAATAAGGCACTGGTAGCTTGCAGTGACTAACCTCAGTGAACCACATCTGGTTTACTGTCCACCTTGATCTAGACTTTAGATACAGTCTCACATGACCACCTACTTAATCAACTAGGGGAATTCTATGTAGACGGAGCTATTATAAAGTTGGTGTGCAACTGGTTGGATAAGCAGTTATCAATGATTCAGTTAAGATCCCTCTCAGCTGCACAGCCAAGTGGATGCACAACTGCTTAACAAGCCCCCTGCAGGAGCTCATAGCTGCTGCACAGAGGGCAACCTCAGCCCCAGCAGACAATGCCATCTCTGCCTGCCAGCCCAAGCATGCAACTGCCGTGGCAGAACTGCTACCACATGTTCATGTCAAGACTAGCAGTAAGGGGCCCTTCCCCTTCTACCTGCAGCAGCTCCTTGCTGGGAGAGCTGTTGCCATAGGACAGGTGCCCCTTCCTTGGCCCTGACCCAGAGCTACCATGGTTGGGGGAGAGGCACCCGTTCTCTGACTCCAAGCCAGGTGTGCCTTTCCCCTGGTTCCAAGCACTCCTGAGGTGAGAGGGGGCTGGGAGTAGTCTTCTCTCCCCAAGACAGCCAGCACCCCAAACACCTCATGCCCAACCCCACCATAGGGCCCACAACCCCAGCCAAAGCTATCACCCCACACTGCAATCTTCTGCCCCAGCCCTGACACCCTCTCCCACAACCCAAATCCTTGGCCCCACCACCAGCCACACATTGTGTACGGCATGACTTATGTGGTACATCACCTCCATAGTAGTGCACATAGCAAAAGTCATTCAGCTCATGCACATAAAAAATTAGAAGCAGAATTCTACTATAGTCATGATGGAAGTGCATAATGAGTGGGGTTTCACAGGGATCAGTTCTGGATCCTGTTCCATTCAATATCTTCATCAATGATTCAGATAATGGCATAATGAACACTCTTATAAAGTTTACAGATGATACCAAACTGAAAGGGGTGGACAAGTACATTAGAGGGAGGATAGGCTTATAATTCAAAATTATCTTGATAAACTGGAGAAGTGGTCTTAAGTAAATAGGATGACAAGTTCAACAAGGACAAACACAAAGTACTCCATTGAAAGAGGAACAATCAGTTGCAAACATACACAATGGGAAATGACTATCTATGAAGGAGTAGTGCAAAAAGGGATCTACCTGTCTTAGGGTATGTCTAAACTACATCGTTTTTTCGAAAAAAACTGCTCTTTTTTCGAGAAAACTTCACCTGTGTCCACACTGCAATTGTGTTCTTTCGAAATTAAATCACTAGGGTTAAGAGAATACCCAAAGTGGAAGAGAAACAGATTATGTTCATCAGGGTATTAAAGAGTACCATACAAGGCAAGATTTAAATACTGAAGACTTAAATCCAAGTGGGCCAGACATAATTCAGGTTCTGTATGGCTATCACAGGTAGTAAGAGGTAATAGAGGGAGAGCTAGAGCCAATTTCCCCTTTATGTCACTGTATTGGAGTGCAAGATGTATATGCAGTCCCCATGAACATGGATAAGCACAGATGTCCAGCCTCATACACAGGGATAGACAAATAATGCAATCTACTCACCTATGGTGAGTAGATTGCAACCCGGAAGAGCCGGGTTCAGGCGATCTGCGCATGAGCAGATCGCCGGACAGCACAGCTGGCGAGTGGGGTTCGCTGCGGTTCGGCGAGCCCTGTTCATACATGTTGCACATGTGCCTAAAGTGGGATCCAAAATGACACCTCAAAGTAGAGCTGCAATGACTTCAATGGAAACAAGTCTGAATTACAGATTTTAAATGGACATCAGGGAGCTTCACCGACATTTCTATGAAGATCACACAAGTGTGAAAAACAGTTAAAGCAAACAATCTTCACAAAGCACAACGTGCATTCAATTACAAAAATTCACCTTTTTTGATAGGAAAGAAAATCCCAATCTGTAAAGTGAAAAGTCAGTTGAGTAGCAGGTCAACATCAATGTAGCCACTCAAAGCCAGATCAGAGAAACACCACTTAAGCAGCAACACAATTCACCTTTGCTCTTCTCTATGATGAAATAAGAGCCTAGAGTTCAAGATGAAAGAAACCTATAATGCTAAGGGCTGGTACATTCTATGGGTAGGGCAGTGTAAAATTCAGAGTTTTCAGTCATGTTTGGAATTGTTCTACTTTGTCACAGGATGGATGCACCTTTAAAGGAAAATGGGTCTCAGCCCCAGCTGTGACACAAGCTCTCCTCCCTCCCTCCCACATGTGGATAATGAAGAGGGGTTATAGGATTTAATTCGGCTTCTGGGATAAGAAAGAGGTCCAGGTAGACAGAGGGAGAGACACATCAGCATGGAAAAGGTGACAAATATCGAAGTTGCTGTGTGTGACCAAAATACCAAGGGAGAACAGCAAAGAGGATTTGTTTGATGACATCTCTGAATCAGAGAAAGTTTTGGATCTGTCCTGGGCAGGGAAGTGGACATGGGTGCTTGAAGAACAGGAAAAGATTCCTAGGAAGGGCCGGCAATGGCTGCAGGATAAAGGGCACTCTGGAATGAAGAATCCAGAGATTTTTTTTGTGACCGTGATGACTTTACTTTGGGAGCACTGAGTTTCTGTACTCTGTTATTAAATCAGCCCCAACCAAGAGTATCATTTGCCACAAGAAAGCCTTTGTGGATTTTTTTCCCCCCCAATATCTGAGGGAAACTGAGGTGGGATGCTTGCAGAGCCAGTGCACACCAAAGGACAGGCTGGAGACAGCACCCTATTACAGGCTTTATTGTAACCTGCACACAAAGTATTCACTGAAGTATGAAATTCTTGTATTTGAACTGCAGCCGTCTGAATATTATCATTTCCAAAAGACAGACAGAGATTGTTTTTCTTTAGAACAGCCACCTGAATTCATCTTCCTGAAATGATCGTAAAAATAGGCTGTAATATATAGGGTTGCCAGATGGTTTAACCAAAAATACCAACCCCCCCCCCCCAAACAACACACTGGAGAAAAAATTCTGTTGGGGGGAGAAGGAGGAGACCAAAGTTGTTGAGCAAAAAAATAAATAAAATATAAAACCTTAATAAAACAGCATGGCCCTTTCAGTGCATACGGAGTCAGAATAGGGATAGGAACAGGGGAGCAGTTGAGCACTAAGACCCAGGGATTGCTTCCCCTTGGTCTTTAGGCTTTTTGCCGGCAACCATTTTGTGTTCTTAATCAAGCCAGAACGCAGCTTCTCTACAGAACCAGGTAAACAGCAGGTTGGGGGGCGGGAGGTGTTAGAGGCTAGACTCAGTTGGCGAGTGTGCCAGGTGTTCAATACTTTTGCCTCCTGGCAGGGAAAAAAACCCAGAAAACACTGAATATTTTAGGCGTCCAGTATTTTCTGAATTTCTTTTACCAGACAGGAGGCGAAAATACCAGACTGTCCGGGTCAATATCAGACACCTGGCAACCCTAGTAATGTATCAGGTGGGCCTGGGCACCACTCCGAGAGTCAAATCAGGGTGAACTGCTCAGAACCATAACTACTTACAGACCAAGATTGGGATTCCCCTCTATAAAAGACACCAAACCAGCCACACAGAGCATTTCAGCTGCCATCCTAGCAAGAAGTCTCACAAGCATTCTTTGTGCCACATCCAGCACACACCAAATACACGTGAGAGGTTATAAAACCAATCTTACCAACTCCAAACAGGTTCTCCCAGTCCCAAAGGACCAGCTATAGTCCCAGACCCAGGACAACTTATACCTCGAATCTTACCCAAAAGAGCACGTTGCGCTGATCCTTTAGACTCTAAAATCTAAAGGTTTTATTAATAAAAGAAAGAAAAGGGTTGAGAGGAAGATGTTAAAGAGAATACATTACATACATCAATCACCAAGTTCTTCATGTAGGCTTTTAGCAGAGATGTAATAAACTGCTAGCTTAAAAGTCTCTGGTGTACATCCTAAGGTAGGATGAGTCAACAAATCCTTCTGGGCCCTCTGTACTAACCAGTGGTGCTTCTGGAGGAGATGGCGAGAGTGAAGGCAAGATGGAGGCACCCTCATGATACTTTTATAACCTTGCCCATCCAGAGGGAAAAAAAAATCTATTCATCTTCTGGTAATTCCCAAATTGGAGCTGATCACACGATCAAATGACGTGCCCAAGTACTTCATGTAAGTAGCTATGAGGTACTTGCTGGTCTGCAGGTTCCCAGATGCATTCCTCAAGTGTTTATTGGACATCTTGAGGGCCTTTGTCCATGCAGCATCACTAATTAGCATTCATTGAATAACCATTCCTTACAATATGTGAATGACGCCTATTGCTGTCTCTCAGACAGAGAACACTTAAATACAAGTACACAGCCCATATTCATAATTTTATATATAAAAATCATACCGAGTAGTATACATAGAATCAGCATAGCATAAACTTTCATTTGACACCTCACAAGTCCCACTTCACACAGAATTTGTGGCAAACACATAACAGTGTGTGCAACAGTCGCCTGCCAGCTCACACTAAAACCCAATGATGTGACAGATAAAACAAGATATTTTAAAAAATAAAACCCCACAAAGACAGGAAGTGACCAACAGTCAAATTCTGTTGGTGCAACTCCAGGGACAGTAATGGAGCTGCACCCATTTACACCAGGGTCCAATTCAACCCGACACCAACTAGGATTAGGAGCTTTTACCATAGTCTTTCCTGATCCCCGAGGTCCAATAATGAGTGCAGAATTACTTTCTCCATGGATAGTAGTTCGTTTCAGCAGCTCCAGCAGGTGTCTATAATAGTAACAAAAATGACAACAGGTTAAAACTTCAACAAGAGGAGTATTTGCTATAGCTGTAGAAGATAATCCAGGAAAGAACACAAGAAGAAGCCTAACCACAGGATGGATAGTTAATTCCAATCACAGTAACAACCATTTGCTGCAAAATTTAGTGCAATTCAAGTAAGAAGGATGGCTAGATTCAGATTTCATAAACATTTAAAAAATATATATGTTATAAAAGTATCACTAGTTTTCACCAGTCTTCTAAACATGACATATAAGCAGTATGCCATAAGCAGAGAACACTGAGTTCTTAACGCGTTCCTTCAAATAGGAAAAGCACTAGTCTCATTTAGTAGCAAGACTTTAAACAGCAACTGAAAGGTTGACTGAAACAAATAGCGTTACAAAGAGAAAGGAGAAGAAAAAATGCTTCAAATGTGCCAACTAAGAGACCATTAGAACAGGTGGCTCTACCCATTTGATTATCCATACTAAGCTTCTGATGCATTCACAGAATTTCAGGTTGTCTAAGCTAAAGCACAGGAAAACTTTGACAGAACTTAAGTTTACAACAATGTAATTATAAAAATTAAAAATGGCTACAATAGTGCTCAAAGTTTAAGTGAATCAATTTAGAATAGAATGTTATAATTTAAGTAGAAACAAGTCACTGAACACAAAGTAAAATTAGTTCACATTATTCTGGAACAAATATGGGACAATGGAGTCTTCACAGGGGTTATTTATTTATTTGTCACTCAAATTTAATACCAATTTAAAGCTATGGAATGTTACTTAAAGTGCAGCCAAAAATACTCCTCAAAGTAGAAATTTAAACAATTACTGAACTGCTAAGGCGTCAGTTCTACAAGTCCTTTGCTAAGGCAAAGCTACTTCTCTTTTAGGATATCTTTACTGCATGTTAAGACAGTGTTTCCCATTGTATTTGGCCACGGAACAAATACAAGTACACCACAATTAGTAGTAATACGATGCTAAATACGGTCATGATATCATCATTCATTTTAATTCAACATATTGTAAAACAAAACTCTCATTAAATGTGTACAAAAATAAAGCTAAAAAATAATATGAATTATATTGGCAGTTTTCAATGAGAAGAGTGGATTTTCTTCTTTTCTTGGCAAATTTTTTTTATATTTGATTTAATACTAGAAAGTTGGATTTGCATATCTGGCACAGCATTCAGGTGATTTCTGTATTTCATTTTTGTTGATGCATAGTTCGAGAACCCAGTTTCATACAAGTTTGTGCTGGCGAAGGGCAACAACTGACAAATTGCATGTCTTGACAAAGATGAATATTCTTGATTTTGACATAAGTTGCCCCAAAATGCAATCAGAGAAACTTCTTTAAATTTTGTATTAATTGGCCATCTGAAGCGATTTTGATTAGGTTTTCATAGTCTTGTGTGGAAAAACTGAGTGGCTTTTCTGTTAAACTAATGGATTTCGAATCCAGTTATTGTTGTCATTTATGGTTGGAAAATACTTAATGATGTCTGTGTATAAATCGCGGAGATGATCTCTAATGTCACTGCAATTATCTTCATCAAGTTTGCATTCATTTTCTTCAAGAAAATCATTCAGAGTTGGTAAACAATCCAAATTATTTTTGTCCTACAGACAAGATCCAAAACTGCAGCTTCCATGACAAGTGACAAAATTTTATCTTTCGCATTAAAAATATTTACTTTCTTTCCTTGTAGCGACAGATTTACTTCATTTAGTTTTGTAAAGATGTCTGCAAGATACGCAACTCTCGATAACCACAAAAAGTTTATTAAAAGATCAGACAGTTGGAATCTGTGATCCATCAAATATGCAGAGAGCTCATGATGCAACCCAAATAATCTAACCAGCATTTTGCCTTGCGATAGCCACCTGACTTCTGTAGGTAGAAGCAGGGCTGTGTGCTGATTATCCATATCTTCACACATAATTTTGAACAGTCTTGATTGTAATGGTCGAGTTTTTATATAATTAATAATCTGTACTGCTTCGTCCAACACATTTTTAAGAGAGGGAGAAATATTCTTAACTACTAAAGCGTGTCTGTGGAGAATGCAGTAACTGCTGGTGCAGTTTGGTGCTACATTCTTTATTCATATTACAGCGCCAGTCACTGTTCCTACCATTGCTTTGGCGCCATCACCGCACACATCAACATGTTTTTTCCAACTTTTACAGCTGCTACTAGATCCCTTTGTAAATGCAGAGCGGCAGCGGGGGACGGGGGAGAGGAATCTTGTGCTGATCAATAGAAGTGGGACCAGCAGCTGTTGCTGCTACTAGATCCCTTTATAAAGGCAGAGCAGCAACAGGGGAGGGGAGGTGTCTGAAAGTCCGGTGGGGAACCATAGAAGGAGCCAGCGTCTTTGCACGCCAGGCTCCTCTCTGTCTCTTTAAGGGTTAGGGAGCGATCTGGTTCTTGCAGAACCCTTACTTTCACTTCGCGGAACCCCAGGGTTCCGCAGAGCGCCATTTGGGAAACACTGTGTTAAGATAATGTAAAAGACTCAATGCACTGTTACTGTAAAACACTGAAATGACTAGAGTGATTCTAGTAGCTACAAGGGTTTTTGAAGTTCTATGCCATTACAGAGGAATTAAAACTGTCCTGCTGATTTCCTGTTGGTCATCATGTTGCCTCTTCACAGTGTCAATGCCACCTTCGTTGCTATGGGAAGTCATCACTTGCAATAGGAAAATTTTTCCAAGGCCCAAAAAGCATATGGTAGGGGTCCACGAGATTTTTTTTGTAACAAATCAGATTCCCTCTCATTTATTTCCCCCCCAAAAATTTAATTTCCATGAAATTAACATTTGTTTTATTCATTTTTTAAAAGTCTATTACTACAATATGCAGGGCTTGACGATCCGCGGCGAAAGCCGCCCACCAGCCCCGCACTGCGCATGAGCGCACTGCCGGTAAACGGGGCACCGGACTGAAATCTACTCACCACAGGCGAGTAGATTCAATAGACTGTCGAGCCCTGACAATGTGCATTATAGTAAGAACACCAATTTTCTTAAACTGGCAATAGGGAAGAAGAGAGAAAAGAAAGGGAGTTAAAAGTCCTACCTTATACTAGGAAATGTTTTATTATTAGCTCTGGTAACAGGGTAACTCACTCCTCAAGGCTGGAGCTAGCTACCCGATTACAAATTAAAGCACACCTAGGAGAGATGACTGCCCTATAAAGAGCAGCAGGAGACCTCAATAAATTGGAGAATACTCAGGAACTAGATTGCTAGGAGTTTGCTGATTCTGCCACAAACTCCTTGGAGTGTCCGAGCAAAGCAGGAAAGGATCCAGGCAGGAACAGCTGGCAGAAGAAGGTACAAACCAAGTTCTCTCAACTTTTGGATGGACTTGAAAGTTTATTTTGAGAATTTGTTATGTAAGAGTTTTTTCTACACCACAATATGGTAAATGAGACAGGCTGCCTATAGAAGGACTCTAGATCACAAGGAGATGCACAGGTGGCAGCCAGCCTGATTGCAGTGCTATTTTTGAAGTGCAGATAGGGATACCATATTATATTGTATGATATGGAAATTAATAGCTAAGGGATCCAATTACATTTCAGAACAAACTTCCTCTTGTTACCTCACTATTTAACTTCTCTCCCTGGATTTTCAGACAAGAGTGTCTTAGTGTTTTTTAGACACGATAGCATTAATTAGGCTTCCCAAAGATGAGTGCGTAAGACAGACTACCTCATGGGACTTAAGAGTCTGGCATCCAAGATCCTAGAGTTGCTTTGAGGTCTCAAGAGTATTTATGATCGCAAAAGTCAACCGTGAACCCAATTTGGAGGGGATTAAGAAAAATAAGTGTATATATAAACATGAACTTAAAAAAAAAAAAAAAAAACTTTCCCGCTACAATGAAATGTTATCAAACTTTCAACTCCAAAAATATTTAGGCTTAGAAAATACATGAAAAAAATTCAGTCCAGAAGGTGATTTTCTTTAGAAGTTTATACACATGAAAAACAAGGATACAAGTCTATCTGTAATTTTTAAAACAAAGTTTAAACTAATTTTAAGATCTACTAAAAGAGTTAAGAATGCTTCAAGAAGCATTTTAAAACCACTAAATAGAAAAATGTCCAAAGGCATAACAAGCCTGAACACAATCAAAATTTTCTGTGTTTGTTAAATTGAGGTCCAACTGGTAAAGAGCCCCCTACAAAATTATGAAGCTGATTACTCACTTGTACTGAAGTTCAAGCCCAAATAGTTTTCCACTAGGACACTGGTGACAAAATCTTTCACGAAAAATTCTTTGTACCTATTGAGAAAGTAAGGTTAACACAGAATGTGTAATATGCCTGTAATAGATAGATATATACTAGCATTCTTCATCAACTTCATTGGCTTAGTGGACGATTCATTAGTTTCTGTGTGACAGTAACATGTGATGTCATGCAACAGAACCAACTGCAAATGTACACTTTAGCGGTCACTAAGGATACAGAATGGGAAACCAATCATGGTAGACAGTCTTTAGTGACACAGTCAGAGCAGAGGAAACAAATGTCTCTGGTGCCCTGATATTCTGTTGTTGCTTTTCTCCTCACCTCGCCTCAGAAGTACATAATGCAGCACTCACTGACACACTGGATTAGACCTTCAGACCAGTGGTCATCCTCTAATCCTGTATCCTGTCTCAGACAGTGTTGTGTCCTACAGGAACATTCAGGAAAGCCTATTCTACACAGTTACAGAATAATATTCTTAAGGCTGAAGTTTCTTCAAAGACCTAAGGAGTAAGGGTTTATTCTACATTATATAATGTAGCACATACACTGTTTGGTATTTAATTTATGTTAAAAGAATGTCATTCAGGATGAAAGCAGAAGCACTCAGGGTTAGGAAGTGACAAATGTATACAGGCAGTCCCCGGGTTACGTACAAGATAGGGACTGTAGGTTTGTTCTTAAGTTGAATTTGTATGTAAGTCGGAACTGGTACATATTTTGGGGGGGGACGAGGAGCTGGAGTTAGGTGGAAAAGACCCTGATTCTCATACAACTTCCTTAGTCTAAGAAAAACACATACTGTTTTGATATGAAGGTTTTTTTGGTTGATATTTTAATTAAAAATTGATCATAAGTTTCAGTGTTTCATGCTATATCCAAATCTTCCTTTTGGGGTACCTGAAAGATCCCAGTTATTCATTTAATAGTCAGAATCTTTGTTTTTTATAACTAAAAAAAGTTTATTCAATGCATATTACTGTTCCAAATAGAATTTGCTACAGATGGTTCAGTGAAATGGGTATTAAGTGTAATCAATAGTCATTGGAGAGCACAGTGAAATATTGATACAATCAAAGCTGTTGTTGTATTCTGCTGAGCAGAAAATGGAAATCCCTTCCTGTGAAGTGTGTTTGTGAATTTATCCACAGGATTAATTTTAAAGAAAAATTCTGTGTTGGGAACAGGAGTTTAGTCACAGGTGGGTCCTCATTTTCCACTCACCCACTTTGCAACCAGACCCATCCCCTCGGGGCTTACCCTGCTCCACTCCAGCCAGGGTGTGGGGTTCGGGCTTATCCCCTCTTCCCTTCTGTCCTGCTCCTCCTCATTCTTGCCACCCACAGCACTGGGTAATTTTTCAGCTTCACCTCTGCCAGGCTGGAAGGGACTTGTTAATTTCACGTGACGCTAACAAGATACTTGCAGCTCTAGTGCTGAAGAGGAAAAGAGCTGTTGCTCCCAAGGTGGGGACAGTAACACAATGGGTCTCACTGCCTGCTGCTCCTGCTGTTCCCTAGGAAATTAATTTTTCCATTCTGGGGTGCCCTCTTTTGGCTGGTGTCTTGTTCCCCCCAGCAGACCCACGTCCCTGGTCTGCTGGGGGGAAGCGCCGCCGGAGGCGGCGACAGTGGGGGAGGCCCCCCGCACTAGCTGCGCTCTCCCCCCCCCCGTTTGTAACTAGGGATCCAACGTAAGTCGGATTGATGTAACCTGGGGACTGCCTGTAGTTGCCCATGAAACTTAATTCTACCTCCTCGTTCACCCATTTTGTACAGAGGTGCTATGGAAAAAATAGCACGGGACGATGTCATTAAAACTATATCATAATGCATTCCCACAGAGGAACAGAATTAAAATTGCAGACAACCTCAAATCTAATATTTCCTAACTTTTGACTGCTTGATTTTGCAACCTAACTATATTAAAAGCTTTATTTTGGATAATGTTCTATATTTTGGTGGAGAAACAGCCTTACACACCTTTTATCATTGATAGGTTTTGAAGCCTTAGTCTTCAGCACTACAGCTGAGCCCTCTATTACTTGAATTACAGAACATTAGCTACTACTAGAAGGGTATTATCCCACAAGAGAGACAGGAAGCTGGTATATGGAGGTGGTCAGGGGAATATCCACCCAGTTGTTCTTTCCCATTTACTCTGACACTAGAACTGCTCTGGCAGCTCCCTTTTTGACAGGAATAGAGCAGAACTGCTTGGAGCCTGGGTTAGTTGCACTTTCAGGTTTTCACATTCTGTAACACCACACAAAATACAGGAGGTAAATCCCTGACAAGTTCAGTAGCAAGACCTCATTATAACTTACATAATATGCTAAAGATTTTCGAATAGTGTAACTATGGCAAATAGATGAACACAGCATATGGTAATGCATTATCCTGGTTTTGCTTGCTTACTTGTAAATGCCCTATTCAGTAATTGTTTTCCCCTGTCCTTTATACAAAATTAGAAAGATTCTATACTTACCCAACTGCACTTTTTATGTCCTCCAACATGAACCTAAACCTCAAAATAGTTTGAACATCATTTGTTTACAAGTTCCTCAGAAAAGCTTTGAATTATCTCAACAGACTTTTTTCTTAAACAAATGGATTATTTTCCAGCTTTGAATTAATGTAGCTGTTTACAAGTCAAGAGTTGTGAGACAGTGCTTTAAGCCAAAATCTGTGTGTGTCAGCAAAGCTAGTGTAACAGCATAAGCATTTTAAATATAATGGTCCTTCTGATAATGAAGTATGAAAGCTGGAATATAGATGTATTCCTGATTCATCTATTTTAAAATAAAAGTAGGTCAACAGCAGGTTTGTAAGTACAATCAATGGTGAAACACAGTTTTAACTGTAGTTTCAATTAAGTTCTGGCAACACATTCATAGTAGGTGACTTTTTTTTTTATTTAAATCATGGAATAAAGTGCAGCTTTAGTTGAAGGGAAAATGAAGCAGCAATACCAGAAATGTAAGAAACCTATTCCTATCACCAAATAGTTAATACAAGGCAGCTGAAGCCTCTTCAGAGTGCTGCTATCCTATACCACCTGGCCCCTGAAAGAAGAATCCGTCTCAGTTGTCATTCACACTGCACATAGGAAGAGGATAGGATCAGTCAATAACCCCCAAACATGTGAACCTGAAAACAGGCCAAGATTTGCTATTTACTTATTCTGAGTGCTTACTTTATGCAGTGTGACAGACTTGCCAGTGAGCTAATTATAATCTATCTTTAATATGTGACTGACCAAGAACAGGATCATCCCTAAGCATTTTTATTATAAGGGATAAAAAACGATCGATGATTTAAATAACTAATATGACACTGCACCCCATAATATGAGGATATGATTATGGCATAGTTATGATGCATTTAGCACCGGACAGGTCATATGAGGGGGGTCATTAGAAAAGTTACAATTGGCTGAAGAGGATTATCTTATTTGTATGCATTAGGGATGCAAGATGTCATTTAACTTAATCGTGCAACCGCACCAAATCATATCTGTTACACGATTATTTGATGGTCCTCGGGGCAGGACCCAAAGCCAGCTTCCTGAGGACAAAGGGTGTACAGGCATCCTGTCTATCCCACACACATGCTGCTGCTTCTGATAGAGAGGCAGCAACACAGGAAAGGAGGAGGGGGAAGGCAGCTCTGTGAAAACGGTGCTCGTGAGGAGCCACTTTTTAAGCTGGCTCTGACCAAGCACTGGCTCCTTTTTGGAATGCAGCAAGTGCGGACACACAAATTCACAGAGCCAGCTCCCCGAGGTATTGGCTCCTGCCTGCCCCCCCGCCTATGCTGCTGCCTCTGTATCAGAGGCAGCAAGCGGCAGGGGGAATGAATATAGTCTGCTGGATTAACCAAACAGCTCAGGCTCATCAGTTAATTGTGTAGCTGACTGCATGTTGACATCCCTAGTATGTGTGTATAATTTTTGTATCTCAACTTATAAATATTGATTGTATATCCATATTCAAACGTACTATTCTGGGTAACACTCGCAACTAGCCTTCCAGGTACAAAAATGAAGAAGTCAGAGAGTGTTTCTGGCTCCTCAACAATGACAAAGGACTTTGGAAAGCTTAATGTCCCTATAGGCATATTTGCTAGCTTATTGTTAGTAGTGGCTGCTATAATTCTACAAGGTCATGGGCCAGATCACATGTCTCTGGATTTCATCTTGGGATGTCTGCATTTTCCCACAAACTGTCTAGGAACCAAACTTTGAAACAAAAGGTTCCTGCCACATGCTAAAGCTACAGAAGGCTGGGAATGACGTTATTTAGTGTTCTTCACTACCCATACAAGACGATTTCTGAAACACCTGAGCAATGAAAACTGAACTGAGAAGAAATGCTGGACCCAGGCTATAGGGATTTCTAGCCTGTGTATGAAGACCTGAGCAATTCATGTTGTAAAGATAATTAATGTAGCTTGTGCCTTAAGAATGCATCAATTTGCCTGTACCATCAATTAGGGTGATAATCTGCTAGTTCATATCCAGTCTAAGCAAATAAACAGAATTAACATGATAGGTAATCTGCTTTGACCAGTTTATTATCTCTTATAATCACTTTAAAAAAAATCTCTCTTTTGTAGTTAATTAACTTGTTTTTCTTTCAATCTAAACCAGTGAAATTTGACAGGGCGGGGGGGGGGGGGGGGAAGAATCTCTTATTGGTTACTAGGGATGTAAAAGGGTAGTCAAATAGTTGACTACCTGATAAGCCTAAACTTATCAGGTAGTTGAATCGACTACTCACATTTTCCCCCACCTTTAATGCCTCTATATCAGAGGCAACCGGGAAGGGGTGTGGTGGGGGGAGAGAGCAGGAGCCAATGCTGGAAGGAGCGAACTTAAAAGCCACTTCCCCCAGCAATGTCTTCGCAGAACATGGGGGGGGAGTGGAGGCAAGAAGAGGGCAAACAGGGGAGGCAGAATTGCAGTGGGGACTGAAGCAGTCCCTACCCGTGCCTGGTCCCAACTGCTGCACTTCTGCATTTGAAATGTAGCAAGAACCACAGGCGGCTCTTACTACATTTCAAAGGCAGAAGCTCAGCAGAGATGGCATGCGACCCCTGCCCCCTTATTGACTAATCAATACTAAATTAGCTGATTAATCAACATTAAACATCCCATTTGGTTACCAGAAGTATGCACTGAGGGAGAGGCAGACCAAGTATGCATTGAGGGAGAGGCAGATCAGGTGATGGTGAAAATACAAGCTGAAAGACAGTTTGTCACAACCATACAGTATGAAAGAGAGCCCAGGCTGGTAAGTCACAGAGCTCAGTAGTACCCTAGTTTCAGATGGCATCCTGCAGGGAACCTAACTCTAAGAAAAAGTGAATCAAGAGGCAATCTTGTGCATGCACACAGCTGATGATGCATAGGCATGTACAAAGGCATCAATCATCAAAAGGGATCTAACCTAGGGCCTTGAGAAACAGATCTTGGTAAGAGGATTCCCTGAGTTGTTCTATATCAGAAGAGTAGAAAGTCACTGCAGTCAGACACTTGAATAGGTCCATGTCAGCTACCCAAGGCCAATAAATTAGATTCACAAAGATGACATAAAAATGTTACTCACCTGCGAGATGCATTCTTCATTTGCAGAGCTAGTCTCTTTTGACTTACGTTTACTCATTGCAGTAATTCACATCTTAAAAAAAAAAAAGATTTGCTTTTAGTTCAACTGTAGCTTTGGCAAAACCCAGCAATTTGCAATATTAATACTGCACACTTAATATTAAGGGCAACATCTACATGTTGATAAACAATTGAATTTTTTGAGTATTCAAGTTTTTCCACAGACAATAAAGCAATGTTTTAGGTACATCATACTACTGGTACAAACAAAAAATAATATTGGAAGAAAATCTTGCACCATGCATCTTAGATGAAGGCTTTGTCTACACAAGTTGTCACCAACCAGTAGATGGGGATCTACCGGTAGATCTTGGAGCCTCTGACAGGTGTTCCTGACTGATTTGGCCAGCAAGCTATCAAGTGCTGGCACTTCAGTTGCCCCTCTACCTACTGTCATGCTGCTCCTGCCCTCTGCCTTGTAGCTGCCACTTGAGAACCTCCTGCTTACTATGCAGGATGTGGGAGGGACAAAGGAGGGATGCTGTCAGGGTGTCCCTCTTCCCCCCTCTTCTGTACCCTATCTCCTCACAGAGAGCAGGGGATGGAGGGAGCTTGTCAATGCAAATCTCTGTCACTCTCACACTCTGTCGTTCTCACAAACACACACTGTCCTTCACTCTCATCTCCTGACCCAACACTTACATGAGAGGTCGGTGTTACATCTTTACTGCTTGCAAAGTATATTACTTTTGGTTTTTGACTGTCCCCGCCCTGAACCTCCTCCACCATTCAACCTCCTGCCCCCGATGTGAGTCCCCCTGCACCTAAACTCCTTCCTGAAGCTTGAACCCTGAAACCCCTTCTAGACCCCAATCCCCCACCCTGGGCTAAACCCAGAGCCTCTCCCACACTCCAGACTCCTTGACCCAAGACCAGAGCCCGAACCCTAGCCCTCTACCCCAGCTTGGTGAAAATGAGTGAGGATGGGGAAGGAAGGGGGATAGAGTAAGCAGGGTGAGGCCTAAGAAGGGGTGGAGCAGGGGCAGGACCTCAAAGAAGTGGCAGGAAGGAAATGGGGCAAGGGTATGTGGTTTGAGGTAGATCTTATATTGCACTTAAATTGAAAAAGTGATCTTGTGTTTAAAAAGGTTGGAGACCATTGGTCTACACACACGAGATGTACTGCTGTATCTGTATTAACATGGTTTTATCACCATACCTATAATTTATATTACTATAGCTTATTCACATATTTTTATATATATCTCAATACCACCATAAAGCACCTCTCTACCGATATAAATTGTTCATGTTGGGCACTGTACAAGCATGACTACATGTGCTTAAAAATAAGTTATACCATTGACCATTACACTGATACAAAATTGATGTGCAAACCAGCTTCCTCCCAGGATTCCAGCAAGCAGTTCCACAGTAAAGAAACAGAAGGTACGTAGTTACAATGAAAGACTGAGTTCAACCCAAGGCAAAGTAAAAAACTACAGTTGAGAGTAAGGATGTAAAATCTTGTTTAATTTTTTAACCAGTTAACAGGTTAAAGGGGAGAGAGTGGGCAGAGAGCCACACCAGCCTGGTCAGAGCTGCCCCTGCTTGCAGTGTGCCCACCACACACAGAAGCTGCTTTGGCTGGCCTGGAGCACACCTGTCCACATTAGGCTCTGCAGTGCTGGAGCAGTCCCTTGTCCATGGAAGGTGGGGAGCTGCTCCAGCCTGAACTCGTTAATCAGAAGCAGTAAGCATCACTTGTTAAGGTTAGCCTTTCACATCCCTAGTCCTAAGTAATGACTCCCAGCGAGACAGGCTTCAGCAGTAGTTGGACAGGGACAAGAAATATTGGGGAAAAACCCCCATAACCTATAAAAGCTAACAGTTATGTCTGAGTGACCAATTTTTAAGCCAAAGAAAATTTTGACCTTTTAGAGAATAAGGTCAGTTTCTAGCTTCACAGGAAGCATGTTAACTGGTTACCAGGTAAGCATGAGGCTTACTGGTATCCTTATCGGTTAACTGGCTCTTGTCAGTTAACTTCAGTGGCAGCCAGCCTCACTGGGCAAGAACAGCCGCAGCAGGGACAGTAGTGGTATCTCACAAAAATAGAAGGCGTGGGTGTCACAACTTAGATTAAAATGGTTAACCAGTTCATCACTACCGTTTAAACAGTTAACCATTTTAACATAACTACTTCATAGGCTGTTAATCCTGATACATGTTGTGAAAATGCCCTTGTAAATGGTTAACTAATTAACCAATAGCATTTAAACAGTTAATTGTTTTAGCCAGGGAAATTCAAATGCATTTATTTGTGTAAATGTGTAACTGCTGAATTTCTCAGCAGTTACATGTTTACATGTGGGGGAAAGGAGGGAGTCAGTGCTTGTGGGGAGCCAGTCTCTGCTGGGATTCTGGTGGCAGCTCCCAGGAGCAGCTCACTGGCTCCAACCAGCGCCCCTCCCCCTCCGGCAGCAGTTGCAGCCACCTGTGGATGGAGGAGGCCGGGCTGGCAGCACACAGTAGAGGCAGACCCACAGTGGGAGGGAAGGGCCACATAGTGAGGGGAAGGGCTTGCTGGACAGCGGCATGTGCTGCATGGGAGCTCGGAGCTCTGGACACTGCATGCCACCGGCAGGGCCCCTGGCTGCCCGTGCAAAACACCAAGGGAGCCGCATACGTGCTGGGTGGAGGTGGGGAGTTGCTGCTGTGCTTCGCTAGTGCTGGGTGTCTTTAAATCCAGGACTGTCCTGGAAAAAAGGGACGTAAGGTCACCATATCTCCATGGCACACCTCGGCCTGTGTCATGGCACACCGGTGTGCTGCGGAACAGTTTAAGTAACTCTGTGTTAGATGCTTTCTTAAAGCCAAATTGCTTTATAGAATCAATTGTATTCATGCTTATGAATATGTAATCTGTCACTGTATCATGTGCATGAGGAAGTGTGAGTGAGCAACTGCCAATAATAAGGCAGTACAGCATTTATGATCTTTTATGGCTATAGGGAAGAATCCTGCAAAGTGTATAATTGGTCTGACAGGCAGCCAGCTGCGGCTCTCCTCAGAAAAGATGTAACAGCATGCCAAACTTGGGACCAGATCAAAAGCAGTAGAGCCCTCCCATGGATTGGAAGGGACTCAGGGGACTCTCAACTCCTCATGGCCAGTCTCCAGCTAATTGCAGATTGGCCAGCATCAGCCACCTGAGAAATCAAAAGTAATCTACATCATGCCTGGAGCCTGCCTCCAAACTACCAACATGAAAGCAATGTGTGTGAGTATTCCCCCACCATTAAGAATCCGTACCAATAAACAAGCCTCAGTGCTGCTCCAGTTCACTCTCTGTCTAGGCTTATTCCTTAACTGGTTCCAGGGACAGGTAAGATTTGCTACTCGACTTATCACGGTGTACATCCCTGGTTCAATAGGTTTACTTGAGTCATTCAAGGATGTGGATTATTCACGCCATGGAACACTACAGTTATACAACCTAATTTCCTAATATACACCCCTGGCCTCGTAATCAACATTACAGTAGAATAGTCAAACCAGATATTGCTATCCCATTTCCTGATCACTGGAACACTAATGAAGAAAAAGCAAGTAGCTGCAATGCTCAATGTTAGCATGATCTAAAGGATTACTGAGACATGGGACTGCCCTCACCACAGAAAGGCTGAGCTCTAAGGACAAGTATTATGTCAACATTTAGATTATACATCCATTCTAATCCCAAAAGCCCAGCTTCTTCTCCAAGGCACTCTGTCCCTTGAGTGGTGCGGCCTCAGGGATTATTAGGGACCTAGTACGGCAGCAGTGTCTGGGTGCCCTACACTCCCTAGAGCAGCAATGAGTGTAGGGGACCTTTAGCCTTTTAAATGTATTAAGAGCCAACAGCAGACTCTTTTAAGCCAACTCTCCCAGCACAAACTCCTGCACCCCCTTCCTTGCTGCCTCTGTTACAGGCAGCAAGGGCGGGGGAAATAACTAGTCAAGGGACTAAGTCGCTCACATCCCTAGTTCAGTAAAGGGGTTTTGCACTTGGGTGGTGGCAGCATAACACCCAAGATCAGGGAATCAGTGACCTTTGGGAGTTTTAAAGCAGAAGCATTTTAGATGCAAGATATTTTTCAAGTCTCTTGTGGGCCCCCACCTTCTACACTCAAAGTGCCAGTGTGGTGAACAGCCCTGATAACAAGCAGTAGTTTTCTTAGATCAGTGGTCCCCAACCTTTTAGGGCTGCTGAGCGCCCGGGGGCAGGGCCTCACATGCACCGGGCACCTGGGGCCATGGCTGCACATGCGCCCGGGGGCATGGCTGCACATGCGCCCGGGGGCAGGCCCACCAATATGTCACATACCCGGTGCCTGCACCGCCCATGCTCAGCACTCCTGGGGCCGGCACCGCTCCTGTGCTGCGCGCCCAGGGGCGGGGCCACCCACACGCCCAGGAGCTGGCAGCACCCATGCACCTCGTGCCCAGGGCCAGCACAGCCCATGCACCGCGAGCCTGGGGGCAGGGCCACCCAAGTACTGCACACCTGGGGCTGGCACCGACCCTGTGCCGCGTGCCCGGGGGCAGAGCTGGCCCCGATCACTCAGCGGGCGCACAGAAATGGCCCGGTGGGCGCCATGGTGCCCGCGGGCACCGCGTTGGGGACCACTGTCTTAGATAGAACAACAAGCCTTGTGTATGGAGGAAATGGATAGTGGTAAGTGTGCTATATCTTGACTTTAGTAAGACTTTTGATATGGTTTCACATGACTCTCTCATAAACCCACTAAGGGAAATACTACCTAGATGGAGCTCCTACAAGGTGAGTGCACAACTAACTGAAAAATCATTTCAAGAGTGTAGTAATGAGCGGTTCTCTGAAGCTGGAACTGCATATCAAGTAGGGTCCCACATGGATCAATTCTGGGTCTGGTTCTGTTCATAGAACAACAAGCCTTGTGTATGGAGGAAATGGATAGTGGTAAGTGTGCTATATCTTGACTTTAGTAAGACTTTTGATATGGTTTCACATGACTCTCTCATAAACCCACTAAGGGAAATACTACCTAG